CCAGCCGCCTCTCTGGGGTTGGGCCGGCCCTGCGGCTCTGAGGCAAAGGCCGTGGCGCTCGCTCGCTCGGTGTGAATGGGCGACATCCCGCAGAGTCGCGACAGGCGGTGCCAGGCATCGCGCCGGTGCTGCAGGGCGTTGTGGCTCGGTGTCACCCAGCTGGGTGACAGGGCACCCTCGGAGTAAACCCGGGTATCGCTGGAGTAACCTGCCCGGTCACCCAGGGCGGCAGTGTCCTTACACCGCTCTCGAGTAGCTGAGGTGTTCTCTCCCAGCGTTGCACTCTGTGTTGAATGAGCTTGACTCACAGTGGTTTGGTGTTTTTTACTGGAGGCAGTGTGTGGGAAGAGCCCGGGTTACTTTCCTGCAGGCAGCAGCAGCAGCGATGCCGGCCCATCAGGTTCCTGCTTGCCTGCACCGTTAAATAATTGCACCCTGTTCCTCGTTCCCCGAATGAGACTTGGAAAGTGCCCACACGTCCTTGGGTGCCCGTGAGGACAACACCTTGGCATGCACCCCACTCCCTCCCCTCTGCTCGCTGACCCGTGGCCAGACTGGGAGCGGGGCGGTGACGCACCCGCTGGAGCCCTGCGGTTCGCATTCAGCCCTAAGCCAGGCGTGTTGACGAGCGTGTCTGTTGGGAGGGACCTTAAAGATCATCTGGTTCCAGCCCCGCTGCCGCGGGCAAGGACACCTCTCACTAGACCAGGTTGCTTAAAGCCCCATCCAACCTGCTCTTCAACACTTCCAGGGAATGGGGCAGCTACAGCTTTTCTGGCCAATATATTTGCAATATCTGAGGCTGTGTTACATGCCTGGTGTGCTGGAGATCCACTTTTTCCTACTGTCCTCAGCTGGGGTTGGGGTGAAGTGTGTTCATTCCCTGCTGTTACAGGGGAGGCATAAAAACCAGGGTGGGGCAGGTTGCTCCTATTCCTCCTGTTGAAACCAGGCCAGGATACCATATGGCAGGATTGAAGCTTCATGGCACTACTGGGAAGAGGAGCATATGTGCCTGAGAGCTGGCAGGATCGAGCTCATGATTAAAGCACTCACGAGGAAAAAGGTTTCCAGAGCTTGTGCCAAGCACTGATTCTGTATATTACTGGAAGCAGGATTTGAGGTTCCCTCTTCTTTCTGGTGTTGCCTGTTGACAAACAGGCAGCACCTCCCTTGCTGTGATGAGCTCTCATCGCTGTCCCAAAGAAGGCTGTAGGTGTAGTATGATACTCAGTAGCATAGGATTTGTCACATGGGGATGGCACCTGTCAAGTTTTTCCTAGAGTTGGTGTTGCAGGGAGGGCACCTCTGGCTGCTGCTGGCCTCCTTGGCTGTGGAGGCTGATTGAGCTACAGGCCAGGCTGCAGGTATGGTGGAACCATTCACCTGGCAGTGAAATCCAGGTGGTAAATGGGTTGGGGCTTTTGGCCAGTGCTGGGAGGTAGGACATGAAGGGAAGTGAGAATGCTGTTCACCTTACGCAGAAGGTCAGGGCCCTGGCTTCAATACCCCTCTGCAGCCCTCATCTTTGAAGCAAAGTCAGTAAAATAAAATTTCTGGTGTCTCATTGCCTGAAATCCTAGAATTTCATCTATTCTGTGCTGGATGATACTTACACCCTGTTCTTAGGTTTAATGAGCAGTTTGAATTCTTCCTTTGCCCTTACTGTGCTGAGGTACCCCCTTTGCTGAGAGGAAGGTGCTTTTTGATTTTAAGCACCTTTAAGAGTAGTTGCTGAATTGGTGTTACCTATTACATCACACCAAGAGAATCACTTCCATGTTCACTTCCCACTGCTGTAGTTCGAGCTCAGGAGTCTCCTTGTTGCTCTGCACACACCAGCACCACAATGTCACAGCACACATTATCCCAGCAAGTCACAGGTCACTTAGCTTGGACTGTAAGGTTTTCAAATGGTGACCTTGTACTTGCCTGGATGCTGTGGACATGTTCAGTGTTGCAGAAATAACAGAATGGATTTTTGTGTTTGGAGTTTCCATGTTCAGGTTGCTGCTCTGGCCCCTGTTCTGCAGAACAGCTCAAACCATGTTGTGATGATTTCAGCACGCTGGGGACAAAGAACCTGTGCAGATCAGCAGTCATCTTAAGCTGAAGTCTTCCCCCAGGAGCCCCCTTTCAGCCAAGAACTCTCAATCCACCTATACTAGGACTGAAAGTGTTTGATTTACAGTCCAGACCTTCTTTCACCCAGTCTTTCCTGGGCCCTCAAAAAAAGACCAAAGCTCTTTTTTCCTGCCTGACACGATTGACTTCAAAAGCTGTCAGATCTGTGCAGCTGGGCCATAGCACATCCTGTGCAGGTTAGGCTGTGCCTTATGCCCCAGTAAAGAGCTGGATACCCCATGATCCCAGGGATGATGAGATTTAGACAGTACTCTGGCTTTGTTTGCAGCTTGGCAGGTGGGTGGCTGAACTTGGCCTGCATCCTGCTGTAACAGATGTAAGCTGCTCAGGGCTTTGCCTGTAGACCTTTGGCTCCAGCTGCATCACACCTACCTTGTCTCTCTCAACATCATCCCTCTGATTCAGGTCAAGCCACAAGCAGCCTAAGCTCTTGCTTATTCCTTTGGAAAAGCCCTATGTTGGCCATGTTCATCCCTGGCGTGGCAGGGGCTGTACAGAAGGATGTTTGGGGTGTGGGGCTCGTGGCTGCACCCTGCTGCTGACGGCACCCCTGATGGAGCAGAAAGCACCGTGCGCTTATCTCCAGTTGCAGCACTTAGCTATGGCTTGTACCTACCCTAAAAATAGGTGAGTGGCTCCCTGTGCAGCTTCTATTAAAAGCTCTGTTGATTTCCTTGGTTTTCTGCGTGGCTGCCTGGCAGCCCTGGTAGTGTGTAAGCTGGACCCTTCTGTGACCAGCACAGAGCATGCTTTGGTTCCTGATCCCCATCTCCTCACAGCCATGTCAGGGTCCTTTGCTTAGGGATTTCATGTTTCCCTCAGTATTAAATGGCATTTCTTCTACTTTCAGCAGTACTTTCCTTTCTGATAAGAATTCTAAGCTGAGAAAGACTGCAGAAACTGAAACATTTTACACACAGTTTCTCTAGAAAGACATTCATGCTTATGAATGAATTCAAGCTCACATCTCAGTTGAGGAACTCCTGGTACTTTAAACTTTAACTAAAAGGATGGAGATGGGGAGAAATGTCCTCCATCCAGTCTAAGGTCCCAATTTACAACTTCCTTAGAACTGTTAAGAAGCACTGTTCCATGGGCTTACAAAACACATGTTAAGTGGTTTTTGGTGTCTTCAAAAGTATTCATTTTGCTAAATACAAGGACAGGAGGCTTCTGCAGAGTGTTGCTTTTACTCCTTCTGAGTATGTTTGTTGAACTGTTAGGGATTCCATCTTCCTACCTGCCCCTGTAGCCTGTCATTACTGTATATCTGTCACCAGCTGGTAGTGCTGTAGTTCAGTCTGAACATGTGTGTGGAGTAGCCCCCCAAATCTGCTGCAAGATGTGAGCACAAGATGACAATTCTCTTCCTCTTCCTTTTTTAAGTAACTCAGCCATACAACTAAATTTGCTTGAAAACCACTGTGGGCCAACAGCAGTGCAACACTGAAGTTCTTTTGCCCAAGCTTCCCTTTGCAAAATGCATCCTGAGTAAATAAGTGAGACAACAACAAAACTCGGTCAGCGCCTCTTGTGCAAGTTGCTGTGACGCAAACACTGCCCTTCCTGCCCGTGTTTGAAGGGAAGCAAAGTGTCCTGGCACACTTGGGCAGAGTGCTGAGCATGGAAAAGTGCAAACACAGCCTCTTTCCAAGAGCTCCCTACGTGTTTTGGCATTTTCTGAGAAGGGGTTGGAGAGCTCTTAGGGCATGCACTGTGTAGGAACATCACAAACTGTCCAAACTCCCCCACAGCTCCCCCGAAGGCCAGCCCTTGATGCTGTCCCCTGTGTGTGCACTAAGCAAAGCCTTGAAGGGTTTGTGGCTGTGCAGTGGTACTGCTTGTGCTCTTGGGAAGTGGGAGAAGGAGATATTTCACAGCACAACAGGCATGAGGGCTGCTGGCTGAAAGGAATGGGTGGCTCTGCTCCTTGACCCTCCTAAGGGAAGAGGGCTGCAGTCACCTCCTGTGTGTAAGCCAAAGGGCAGAACAGGGTGGGGACACGCATGCACCCTCCCCATGGCAGCCGTGACCTCACCTAGGATGGGGGGACCTCCCTGCAGGAGACACGGGGCTGGGTGAGGGCTGACTGCCTTAGGGGGAGAGCTGGGGACAGCTGCTTGTGTGCAGGAGCTGGAGAGACTGCCCTCTCCATTGCACATCCTAAGGCCTAAGCCAACAGAAGCATCTGGCTGCTTCATGCTTGTGAAAACATTGCTGCAAAAGCAGATAAAGCTGTGATCAGAGATCCCTATTAAATATTAACCCAAGGGAATGAGTCACCCTGCTTGCTGCTCTGCAGGTAGGAACCTGCAGCCTGGAGGCATCCCAAATCAGGACAAGGTACCAGGTCAAACAGTGTGTCTGTCACCTCCATCGCAGGCAAATGCTGCACACAGAATGAGGAACAGGCAGCATTTGTCTACCTGCTGGGCTCTCTCCTCTCTGAGCAAGGGAAAAGTGTGCTCTATTCTGTTTCCTACAGTGCATGCAGAGTTAGTCTTAGCCCTACTGTTATGGACAAAAGACTCCTTTCTTCCCTAAAAAGACCAGCCTGATGTTCTAAGCCAGGCTGTTTGCAGGCTGCGGAGGTGAGCAGCCCCTGATGGCAGGCAGAACGTGATGAGACTGGACAGGACTAACCCTGCCTCTGCATCCTTCGTATTTTGTCTCAGCTTCAGGAACGGGCTCCTGCACAAACCACAGATTGCTGGCACTGCAACAAGGCACCCAAGTGATGAAAAGAGTCAGGGTGGACATCTCTTAACAGCAGTTTTTCCTTTCCAGTGTGTTCCATGGGAAACAGCACCAGCCGACTCTACAGCGTGCTTGCCAAGACGCTGAGCAGCGGCGCCGTGTCCCAGCACCAGGACTGCCTGGAGCAGCTAGACCCAGCACGGCTGGATCCTATAGACCCCAAGGATTTGCTGGAGGAATGTCAGATTGTCCTACAGAAACGGCCGCCCCGGTTCCAGAGGAACTTCGTGAACCTGAAGAAAAACGCTGCCAGCAACCACCGCCCCATCCGGGTCATGCAGTGGAACATCCTTGCCCAAGGTATGACCTTGAGACCGAGTGCAGCTCCCTGGCAGAGCAAAGGGAGAGGTGAACTACATGAGGTACAACTGGCTGAGGGCCAGGGGGAGTATTTCGAGCACTTAAAATAGGGGCTTTCCTTCTGTCCTGTAGGAAAGGAAAAAGGGTCTCTCCTTACAACTGTGATGCCAAAGGTAGTCCTGGATTCCTGTCCTAGCTGAACACAGTGTATTCAAAAAGACCCATCAGTTTTTAGGTAGTTGTTAACCCCCAGAAAAGACTCACCCTCCCCTAAATTTTATTCTTTGTAAACCTCGTCTAAAGCTTTCTTATTAGTTTATTGGTGAATTATCCAGGAATTTAGATCTGCTACGGGAATTCTTAATGCTTCAAAATAATTTTACCTTTCGGTTATAATAATTTTTGGTATTTTCAAATCAAGACTGTAAATTGACTTATGCAACAGTCTCATCTTAAAATCTTTTGGGATGGGAAGTCCCCCCATAGGGATTGCTTTAACAATCTGCAGTTAAGTCACTCCTATCCCATTGCATTTTATTTTTAAGCTTAAGCTGTAGCAGCCACATGTGAAAGTACTTGCCACAGCATAGGGGGAAAAGGGAGAGGAAGTCTTGTATCTGTAAAGGGAACTTAATTTTTTTGGAGTGACTCCAGTGGTTTGAGAAGGGGTTCTCACACCCATTGGCAAACCTGGCACTCCTAAAGTCACCAGCTACTGCTAAAAAGCCCACGACCTGCGTTGTAAACTGATGCACCTCTGGCCTCTGCCAAACCTGGAGGACAGCCTGCTGGAGCCATCAGTAACTACCTTTTTTCTCTCCCCATCCCTGCTAATTTCAGCTCTCGGGGAAGGCAAAGACAACTTCGTTCAGTGCCCCATGGAAGCTCTGAAATGGGAGGAGAGGAAGTGCCTCATCCTGGAAGAAATCCTGGCGTATAAGCCCGACATCTTGTGCCTGCAGGAAGTCGACCACTACTTCGACACGTTTGAGCCGCTCCTCAGCCGGCTGGGCTACCAGTGCACCTTCTTCCCGAAGCCGTGGTCCCCGTGCCTGGACGTGGAGCGCAACAACGGGCCGGATGGCTGCGCCTTGTTCTTCCTCAAGGACCGCTTCGAGCTCGTCAACAGCGCCAACATCCGCCTGACGGCCATGAAGCTGAAGACCAACCAGGTGGCCATAGCGCAGACGCTGAAGTGCCACGAGACGGGGCGGCTCTTCTGCATCGCCGTCACCCACCTCAAGGCCCGCACCGGCTGGGAGAGGTTTCGGTCCGCGCAGGGCTGCGACCTCCTCCAGAACCTGAAGAACATCACCCAAGGGGCAAAGATCCCCCTGATCGTCTGCGGGGACTTCAACGCGGAGCCTACCGAGGAGGTCTACAGGGAGTTCTCCAACTCCAGCCTCAATCTGAACAGCGCCTACAAGCTGCTGAGCCCCGACGGGCAGTCGGAGCCCCCGTACACCACCTGGAAGATCCGGCCCTCGGGAGAGTGCCGGCACACGCTGGATTATATCTGGTATTCCCAGCACGCCTTGAATGTGAACTCAGCCCTGGGCTTGCTGACTGAAGAGCAAATTGGGCCCAACAGGCTGCCATCCTTCAATTACCCCTCGGATCACCTGTCCCTGGTGTGTGACTTTAGTTTTAATCAAGACCCTGACAGGCTGCTGTAATGTGTTGGAATGCCACTAGGTATTGCAGTGACTGAACTCACCACTATTTTATTTTAGAGAAGACTTTTGAAGCTGGAAGCAATTGGAAGATGAGGAAACACTGTTGTTGACTAAACATTATTTTGGGCACTTGTTTGGCGTTACGCATGTCCTTCAGCCCTCATTAATGTGGAGCCTTTGAGGGAGGAAGAAAGAAGCCAGTGTTCTCATCGTGGTCTTCTTGCCACGTCAGGGTTTGAAAACCAGAAGGCAAATGAGCTTTATCCTTTCACTAAGCCCCCTGTTTAAGGATTTAATCCTCTAATGAATGTGGAGGCCTTAGTACTTAAACCACTTGTGTTTGTAAAACAACTTGCCCTGACAGCATGCTAATTTTATTTATTTTGTGTTAAGCTTTTGCAAGTACCAAAGGGAATGAGGTTCCAACTGCCCAGTGAGATTCTCTTAAATCTTTTTCTGTTGCAATACGAAGGAAGTTTAATGCAGATTAGACATGAACAAATCTAAGCTCATACTGGTGTGGTCTTCTCATTTTCACATGACCTGAAGTGATGAATTCATTGGAAGCGAATGGGTAGTGGTGCAGTGTGAGGAAGGGCCCCTCCAGTAAGAGCAGGTGAGGAAATAGAGGCTAACTATAACCTGGAGTAATACCCTCACTTTTCCAGAACAATGTGCATGTGTCTGTTACACACATACAGCCTGTAGGTTTGTGCACTGGTACCTTTGTCTCTTCTGTGCTTCCCTCTGGAGGGCACAGCTAACCAGGGAGTATTTCTTCCTCTGCTTCAAGTATTACTTTTCTAAATGGTTTAAATTTGTAGTCTTGTCAATCTTGTTTCAGTAAAGGGCCAATCTTAATGTTGAAAGATTTTATTTATCTTCAGAAATCTAAAGCTACACTGGAACCTGGTACAAGATAAAATTTATTTATTGACAAAAGTTGGTTTGAAATCATGCAGTGGCCCAGGGGAACTCTGGCCAAGCACCTGGGCTGCAACAGAGCTGTGTTAGTATAGTAACTCATGTGATGCTCATTGGTATGACATAGGAATTGCATATATGGATTGTAAATATGCCACTATGCCAGAAAATGCCATAGGGAGAGAGAAGGGAACAGAGACAGCAGTTGGGGTTGGGCTGACATTTAGATAGTTGAGAAAGATGAGTCAGGGCAAATAAAGCAGTACTTCCATGTAAAGTAGGGTACATAGTAACTCTTAAATGTTCCATGTGTTTATTAATAAAAGTCTTTGGGAAAAAAAGTAATGTCTCTGCTGCTGTCTTTCTCATGTCCCTGTCCAAGGTTCCTGTTCCCAAGTAAGTGACCGGTCTCAGCTAGTTGGAGCTTCAAGTTAGTGGTGATGCTTCTCATTCCAGACCTCTTTCCCCACCCCGCAGTCCTGATCTCACAGGGTGGCAGAGCTGCTTTGCCTTCACAGCATGTGCTGTTTCTCCAAACTGAAATGCCCGAATTCCACAGCAAATCTGTAGGGAGGGGAGTTGCCTTTCGCTGTTAAGCTGCTCTCTCCCCCAGGTAGAGATGAAGCCTACAGTCAGTACTACTGTAAATATTACCATTTCCAGCAGTTGTGTGGAGCTACAAACCTGGCCAGTCCTGCAAAGCAGAGGGCAAATATCCCTCCCCGAGAGCTACTCAGATGCCTGGCAGGGCTGGCTCCCCACAGCAGGCAGCTCAATTTGTCACCTTATTTTAAAACCTAATTTGAAGAGCAAGAAGTGCCACAGCTCTGTGCTTTACACAGCCCATAAATTACTGTACTTGCATTGCAACTGGAAGTCCCAAATTCCTACACAAACACACTCCCTTGTCAGGCAAACAAGTGAAGTGCTGTTGCAGGGCTGTAACACACCCTGCACGTGTTCCTGGCCCTGGAAGGATGAGGGCAATGATCTGCTTCCACGCAGAGGCCCCTTTAACCAGCCTGGGACTTATGTGGATTTGAATTTCCCCAGAATGAAAGGATTTTACAACCAAGGGGATAATGTCCTTGGTGAATACTCTTACCAGGCAGATGGGACATGCCCCCACCTCTCTCAGCTGGAACTTCAGGAAGAGCAAATTGTGTCCCTGGAAGCCGCATGGGATGGCTCTTTTGGGGGAGATTTTGGGCCAGAGATGCAATGCTCCTAATGCCCCACAGGAAGGCAGACCTTGGAGCATCCCTGCCAGGAGCCTTTCACACCAATTAGACTGTGACAGCTTCCTTTTCCTGGTGCTGGCTGCCCTCAATTGCTCTCTGAGGGGATGAGATGCAATCCTTCTCCTTTAGGATTATCTTCTCTTAGGACCTTCCCTCAAATGGTCTTGCAAGGAGGAGAAAGAATACAAGTGCCCGTTAATGCAGGTCTGTAGTCATCTGTAGCTAAGCACTTCTGAAAGCAACACCACAATGCAGACATACAAGATGATACCTTTAATAAGTCAAATCCTTGCTCATCTACCACAAAAAGTCACACCAGAAAGCTGGAGTTTCCATCCAGACTCTTTTGGCAGTTTCTAGAAGAAACTGCACTTGTGGTAGAAAGCCCTGACTTGAGAACAAGGGTAATACTTGTACTCAGATCTGTATTTAAAAACAAACTAAACCATAAAAAACAACAACAACAAAAAAAACCCCAAACAAAACCACACCAAACACCAGAAAGCCCTTAATTTCATTTCACTCCTGTCTAAGCAGCTCCATTTTCCTAAGGCCAGTCGAGGTGTCAAATCAGTGTGGCGGCTCCACCACTGCCAGGGCACAGAGCCACAGCACCGATTATGGAAGGCCTTGTTTACCACAGGAGCTGAACTGTCACAGCTGCAAAATTCCCACTGTCACTCTCACAGTGTGGTATTTGGTGTCTGGATGATTCTTACGGCACTTTAACTCAGACCCTGGCTTGCAATGCTACCTCTCCCACAAAAGAAACCAAACTGTGGAGGAACAGTCTGATTTATATGATGCTGCCATCACTGCAGACCTCTCCTGAAGTGGAGAGGGCTGGGATTCTTCTTCCACCCTGGCCACGTGACAGTAGATGTGCACTGCTTCATCTCCTTAAAGGGTAATTTTGAAGGCGAGGGGAGGGTGGAATAATTGAAAAGGCTGGGGACTCTCCCCATCTCCAGGCAATTCTTAATACTGTCATACTCAGAAAATCACACCTCCCTGCTACAAGCACAACAGTGAACCCTTTCTGCTGGATTTCAATAAAAGGTAGACAAGCCACAGAAATTAACTGGTAACTTCCCAGACGTCTTCACCCTTTTATTCCAGTACTTGCCATGAAATTTATTTTGCAGAGAAGTCTGTTTTGAAAGACTTAAATGACATACTGTTCTTGCTTTGTTTTATACAGCAAGAGGCAGGCCTGCAGCACTGAAATGCTTTTGCCAGCTCTAAATATCAATATACTGAATGTTTTTCATAGGAAGAAGCAGAAGGGTTTTTGATTTGTTTTTCCTATGTAGCAGTATGACTCTTACAGTAAAAATGTCTTCAAAGCTCTTCTCGTGGCTGTCTGCCTTATAAGCACACCAGGGCTAAAAAAAGTCTCAACAGATCCCTTGCTCTGATCTTGAATAAAAGCTGCAATAGCTTTATCAGTGACACTTTTCCCTCACCCTCAAGTGAGATGAAGGAAGAAATGACCCAGTTGTTTAATTTGATGAAAGGCAGAAGCTGTTGCAAGCTTATTAAAACACTATCTCTCTCGGAGAACAATTAGATCACAAGTAGATAGTGTCACTTGGATCTTCTTCACTTAATAAGCTTAACACCTGCTGTTTGAACTGTCTCTATGAGGCAGAATTGCACTTATCTTGTTCTGGCAGTGACAATCTTCACATGCAACCGAGATCCCTGCTGCACGTGTCAGGGCGAGTGAGAACTGGGGCTTCGGGCACCTCTTTGTTTCCTCATCAACTCCTGACTGCCACTGGCTCACGCATCCTTCATCACCTCAGATGTAATTCTCCAAAGCCCTAAAATTGATGAAATCAAGCAGCAGAGGATCCCAAGAGCTCAGCCTTTCTTTCAACACGCCTTATTGAGACAAGTTGAGTTGTGTCAGGGCCCAGAACCCTTCTCTAAGTAAGATGTCCAGGAGAGAGTTAGCAAAAACAGCAGGCTCCAGGATAGGATTTCCCTTTCAACTTTTCTTGTCACTACCCAAAATTTTGATATTCAGATCTTTTTTCCGAGTTGCAACTCAGTTAAGACTTTTTTCTTCCCTGTGGATTACACAGCATCAACCTTTTCATCCTATAACTTACAACAGTAGTTACAGGAAAAGTAAAAATGTATCTGTAAAATCAGTGATACCTTGACTGTATATGTCTCAATGCCTTCTGTATAAAGCGTGCTCACTTCACATGAGTTTCATTCCATTCCCACATCTAGAAAAGTTACTATTTGCCAAGGATGAGTTAAGCCTGGACTCTCCTACATGAGCCACCAGATTCAGATGTAAAAGTGAGTCCTGCTTTCACACAGGTACAAAATAACAGGTTTTTCAATGGGATTGAAAAAGTCTGGGAGTACAGCTAGATACTGACTTTTCCAATACTCTAGAGTTGTTCTCTTCATTGTAGATGCTACAAACCTGACCAAAGCTCCTTCATCCTAAGATCACATCCTCCACCACCACCAGTAAAAACATACTAATTAATTCATAGAATCATAGAATGGTTTGGTTTGGAAGGGACCTTAAAGATGATGCAGTTCCAACTCCCCTGCTACACCAACCTTGCTCAAAGCCCCATCCAACCTGGCCTTGAACACTCCAGGAATGGGGCCATCCACAACTTATCTGAGCAACCGCCAGTGGCTCACCACCCCCGGAGTGAAGAATTCCTTCCTCATATCTCATTGAAAGCAGCACACTGAAGAGCAAACTTCCACACTAGGGAATGCTCTGAGACTTTCAGTTACAGATGGGACTCAACCCTCTGACATTTGGCTGAAGAAATCCCTGAGGAGAGGCTGCCTCTTGTAAAAGGCTTTGCTACTGAGATTACACACCAACTCTGAAGGAAACCGGATCTCAGAAGAACTCAGAGGCACTGCATGCACACAAAGCAATGCTGAAGAGCTGTGCTTAAGCAGATACACTGAAATCACTACCTGACTGTGACAAAAAGGCTGTTGTACTTCTAAGGTAGCAGCTAAATTTAAAAAAGTGAGGAGTACAAAGGCATACATGGAAAGGTTAACAAAATCCTCACTGTTTCAAGTCGGGTTAAGTTCCCTTCCCATTTCAGTTACGGCACATCCTCATACAGATTGAGGTTCTCACTTCTCGAGCCTCTGTTAAATGTCCTCTGTCAGCCAGCATTGTGTGCTGCTCACTGGGTGGCCAGGGGAGAGAGCCAAAAGACCATCACCAGTTCTGTGGCAAGATGCAGCACTGGCAGTAACAGTGTCTCAGACCACGGGCTCCGAGCTGACTATCCCACGAGTAGTACATGTGCACCTCCATTCCGTTCGTTTTTGCCATGACATAATGAAGTCTTGGCTCTAACTTAAGAGAAGGTCATCAGCTCAAGTCCTTATCTATTTCCAGCAAAACAGCTTGTCCCCATTTGACTTCCAGTGTATCTAAATTAGGCGTCAGAAAGGTTTTAATTACAAATACTGGAGGCAGACATTTCACGCTCCGAGATGCAGCATCTTTCATGTATGATCAAGTGACAACCATTTAGAAAAAGACTTCTTACAGACAGGACTTACAAATGTAGGTTTAAAAAACCTATTACTTTTCTCTCCTCTTGTCTTTTGAGGAGCACTCTTCTCAGTGCTCCATTTCTCTTTACCCATAACAGTGCACCCCAGACTACCAAATTAATCGAGCCATTGCCCACCTTCCCCTTTCTGTCCTAATACTTTCTTAGCAACATAATTCCTCTTCTTTCTCCCACATTTCCTCCTGTGAAGGGGTCTTTGTCCCCTACCCCAGGCCAGAAGCACAGCTCCTGCATAAGAACCTTTGCTTCTTTGGGTTGCTGCTGGTGGGAGGGATTCCTGCCATCTACACCACGCTTTTACCTGCTTCAGCTTTTTCATTGCTTTGTTCTTAAACTCCACATCCTCGCTTAGAGTTATGAAAAAGAATACATTTTCCTAAAGACTTTCAAAACTCCCCACCTGCTGGCTTGGCTGTACGGAGCTATTCCCACACTTCTTACCAGTCAAAGGGAAGAACAGGGCTTACTGCTAGGAATTGAGAGGTAGCTTGGTTTTCACACCTAAGTATTCAT